ATAATAAATGTTAATGAAATAATTGATTTTTTTAAAAGAAAATGCGAGTTAAACGTTTTTCTTTAAAATTCACGTTTAACACATTTTTAACTATTTTCGATATCTGTTTAGATTATTTGATATGTCTATAATGTAATTCTCGAAATAAGTTTTGAGATGACATAAATAGTTTGTAAATTTGATTAGCGTACAATTGTCGAATAATTTCTAAAGTTAGTGTGTTATCGAAATTTTCGAAATACTAATTTTAAACGGTTTACTTTGACAAGTCGTAGCAATTGCTAAGATTGATCGTTTCGTACGCCATTAATGACATAGAAAACTAGACCGTAAATACTTCGAAATGGTATTAAGAATGAAATATTTCACCCTTATTTGATGGAGAGTTAAGATTTTATTAAAAATCGAGACAAAAAGAGAAAAATTAAAATTTATTGTGATTTTGCCCCTGTTTGATGAAAATTAAAATAAAATTTTTAGTAAATTTTGATAAAAGTTAAATAGTTATGGATTCCATGAAATATGTTATTAAAATTAATTATTAACTTTAATTTAAATTAAAATTTCAATTTCAATTGATACCAAACATGATTTTATATATTTAAAAAAAAAAAACTCAAAAGTTTGTTGGCACGTATTTAAGGGATTCTTTGGTTTGTGCCGAAAAACAATGTCACTCGATCATTATCGAATATACGAAATTTTGAGTGAAAATTCTGAAAATATTCAAAAAAAAATGGAAAACAAACCTTTGAATAAAATTTTACTTAATAAATAAAATTTAAAAATTTCAATAAAATAAAAATTTTGAAAAAATAAATTTTAAAATTTTAAAACAATAAAATTCTAAAAAAAATTCTGAATTTTTTTTTATAAAATTATAGAAAAATAAAAAAATATAAAATAGTTCAAACTCCTAATGATTATTTACATAAAAGTTCTAAAAAATATTAAATGAATACTATTTAAAATATTCTCCAATTCACGTTATTAATTTTTATTTTCTATATTTTGAACTCAATTTATTATTTATTTTACTTTGTATTGAAAAATAAATATTGTAAGATTCACTAATTTTAAAACGTATATAATATTTGATAATATATTAACATAAAATTTTCTATTTTTATTCAATAATCAAGTTTCATGGAATAAAATGTTATAAAATATTATTTTTTTCAAAATTTCAAAGCTATTTTCTAGTTTTCTATTTAAAAATAATAATTTTCAAAATGTCAAACCAAATGCATTTGTAACAATCTTAAAATAGACCATAAAAAATAGAAAATGAACTCAAGACTGAATACTGAAAATTGAAACATAAACCAAATGGGCATTTAAAACTCATGTTTGATAGAGATTTTCTAAAATTTTCAACCACATATTCACTTAACAAAATAATTTTGCGAGCAAACCTATAATATTTTTTTAAAAATAAAATAAAATATTCCAGTCTACTCTAAAATTTTTTACATTATACGTGCTCTAATTTTAATCACACATTTCATTCGGACTTAAAGAAAGTTTAGCACCTAAATCAATAACCCTAATTTTAATAAATCTTTCCTATCCATTTTTTAATTTAGTTTGGCCAAATCCAATCCATTTTCATGAAATTTGTTCTCGTCGCTATAATGGATAAATTTCGTACGTGAGCTGTCCGTGAAATTTCAATTTATATTTTATTTAATCACTTACCTTCAATTTTGATTTCAAAATTCATCACTCCATCACCGTTGTCTCCCAAAAGATTAAAATTTGCTTAAACTGACAATTATTTTGCAACAGGTAATCGTTGTGCGGCTTGTCAACTCATCACCCCTCCACGTCATAAAAGAGTTTTAAAAAAAAATGTCTTTTAACATGTTAATACAAAAATATCGACACATTCTTCGTTCTCTTATTTTCGTTTTTAGAGTGGCACGTATCTATTACGTATAAAACCAATTACAATATGACTGTAAAATAAGTACTTTATTTCAATTTGAGAAATGATAAATGTGTACATAGTGATTTTTACTTGAAACTAAATTGAAGTTCCATGATTCAATTGAGAAAAATTATAATAATCACTCAATTGAGATCATGCCAAATAAAAGAGTGTACTAACCCCACCCACCCACCACATGTCCTACCATTTCTAGATTCTAAAATGGACCCCATTCTTGTGCAATTAGTGGCTACAAATAAAAGAGTGTACTACCCCACCCACCCACCCACCAGATGTCCTACCATTTCTAGATTCTAAAATGGACCCCATTCTTCTTTTGCGTTTGCATCCTCCATGGAGGTTAGGATTTGAAGACAAGTTCATAATGTTGTCAAACATTAGGATCGTCCCAATTGTCATGCATTAGGGGAACAAAATATAGGCGTGGCAATGGATTGAATCTTGTCGGATATAAGTGTGGCAATGAATTGAGCGTAATGGGATATATTAAAACTTGAGGTTATATTTTAGAATGTCAACCAGTAAGATGAGTAACTCCAATTCATAAATCTTTGTCTATATTTTGATAATTGATCAACGTGTGATTTATTTTTTAACATGTTCTAGCAATATGACGACTCGTTTGAACATATCAATTTTGAAATTTGTGTACTCATTTTTTAGTCTTAATCAAATTGAATTATTCATTGAAATTTATAGCTTGTTTGTTTGGGATTCTCAAATTCTACAGTAAATCAATTCTCATTTTCAACCCACATTTTTCAATAAAATAATATTTTCCATCACATCAATAATTTTTTTTTCAACCACACATTTCCCATCATATCACTATTCAAAAATCAATTCTTCCCCAAAAAATCGAAAACAAACACCCCCTTAACTTGTGTTTTACACCCATTTTGTAGAAGAATTTGATTTGAAATAGTGATTGATGGAAGAATGTGTGGTTAAAAAGTAAGAAATTTTTTAAATTTATGTGTAATATTATTTTATTGATAGAATGTGTGGTTGAAATGAAGAAAGAGAAAAAATGAATGTCAAACAGGACTTAGTGAGCTCTAATATCATATCAAGACTTGATGTTAAATGTTGAAATGTGAATTTTATTAAGAACAGCAGTGCAAGCTCATGTATGTTGATTTATATTTCGATAATTAGTCGATGTGAAATTTATTTCTAAAGAGGATGCACGAGCTCCGGCCTTATGTCCCATTAGGCCTATAATTATTATTTCTCCTCCTTTGCGAAAATAAAAAAAAATGAAAGAAATAGAGAAATAAAAAAGACGATATAAGGATAATTTTCGATTCAACATATAATGGTATTAAGTTATACATTTGAATAATTCAATTTCCTACTACCAAATTTTTGGACACGTCGATATGCACTTTTATGTTTAGCTTCACTTCCCTGGTGGAACACATTGTCACCGTTTTATTTGTCAAAATAAAAAGTAAAAGAAACCTACAAGAATTAAATATGATGATCAAATATAAATTATAATCTAGTGTGGTTTTATGCAGTAACGGATATATGATCAGATTACAGGTCAGATTAATACTTAAAATAAAATAAAATAACACAAGAATTTTTTTTTCCACTAAAAAAATTGAATGGGTTGGGGTTGGACCCCTCCAGATCCATCCCTGGTTTTATGTTATGAAAAATATATATTTACGATGATCAAAAGTCGTTTTCTTTCCTTTTATACTAAAATCATAGTCAATATAAAATAAAATGTAATTTTGACTCTTTTTAAAAATATATATTATTTTATTTGTTGAAAACTGAACAAGAAAAAGAAAAAGAAAATTATGTTTCAATAGATTTGGACCTCATCATTCACTCCCCGTTTCACCAGTTTATTTCTTTATCTTTATTTCAGAAGTATTAAAATACATTTTATTTATGTAAAACGTTATCATTTTTCAAATCCAAGGGCACTTCAGTACATACACCACAAAATCAATCATACACGCGTCAGCTTATTGTGGCGAGTATGAATATTTTTATTGATGGCGAAAAGTAAACCTATACGCGCCTTTTTCTTTTCTGCAATTCTGAACTTCTCCTCCGACTTACCCCACCACATTCCACCCCACCCCTTCCTATATAAAATAGAATTGTGCCGCCCCCTCTCTTGTTTCTCTTCTCCACCTGTCTCTACATACAAATATACGTATATACATACGTACGTAGAAATCCGCGTCTTTGAGAATCAGAAGAAAAAAGTAAATAGGAATAATGAGAACGCTATGTGATGTTTGCGAGAGTGCAGCAGCCATTCTTTTCTGTGCAGCCGACGAGGCAGCTCTTTGCAGTTCTTGTGATGATAAGGTAGATTTTTTATGTGTATTTCATAATGGATCTGATTGAAATACTTAGCGAGGGAGTAAATGCTAGTCAAATTTATTTGTTAGATTATGTTTTGTTAGGTTGTAGTACTATTTTGTTGTATTGAATCGAATATCCATGTTAGATTTTTAAATGTCTACGTGTGGATCTTTGCTGAGATACGCATATAATGTCAAATACTATCTGAATTTATCTTAAAGAAATTATTTTACCATGGTAGGAATTGCTGTGACTTTGAATTGCATATTTCTGTGCATAATGTTTTAAGATTTCAGGGTATTTAGGGCTATGTGTTGTCTATCATTCTTGTAGTACCTTAAAACTTTTGAATAACATCTCATTTCATTAATACGTGGGTCGTTTTTCAAGTACTTGATGGCCTCCTTAGCCTATTGTTTACTCTCCAAACTTGCCCTAGCCAGCTAATTTGGAATGTGGGTTCTTCTCATTATATTGAATAATCATCTTTTGATTCCCTTATAGCACACATTTAGCATGAAGATGGTTTGTGCACCAGTAATGGATGCATAATTGCTGGACGTATATAAAAGTTGAAAATCTAAGCCATTAATATCAAGCCATATCCTGAGGGTCGGAGACAGATGGCAGGACTACTATCAAGTATGTCTGAGAAGTATGCATTCGTGTACTTTCTTGCATTGTGGTGGCATCTGCATCATGCCATCTTATGAGTTTGAAGAATGTTCCATGAGATTCCTAGAAGGAATTTCTATTCACTTCTTGGAATACATAACTCGTTTTATTCTTAACTTACTATTGTCTGAAAATTGTAGTTGTGAAAATGATAGGCTAACATGGTGTGACAGGTCCATATGTGCAACAAGCTTGCAAGTAGGCATGTGCGAGTTGGGCTTGCTGAGCCCAGTGCAGTTCCACGTTGCGACATATGTGAAAATGCACCTGGTATACAGGTTCATTTCTCTTCCTTCCAATTATTTGAAAGGTTGGAACACGTTCTGAAATACATTTATTATTGGACCTCTTATGTAGCTTTCTTTTATTGTGAGAAAGATGGAAGTTCTCTTTGTCTCCAATGTGATATGATGGTCCATGTTGGTGGTAAAAGAACCCATGGAAGATATCTCCTATTAAGACAGAGAGTTGAGGTTTGTAGTTGTTTTAGAGAACACTACTCATTTTTGTAGCAGTTGTGCTAAAGGCCTCATATTTCCTTCTTTTATGGTTTGCTTCTATAGTTTCCTGGGGATAAATCTTCACGTTTAGACGAACCAGGATCACAGCAAGGTGATCTGGGTGAAGCTAAGAGGGAATCTATTGAGCCCTCTAATTTTAAAGGGAAGGAAAACGAACAAAATCACAGGGCATCTTCGATTCCAAAGCTGGCTAATAACAGTGCCCAACGGATGATTGATCTCAATGCCAGACCTCAACGGATGCATGGACTAGCTCCAAATAACCAGGTATTTTCTTTTTCTATAATCCTCATTTTTTGAAATCTATATTTATGATGCATGGGAAAGTTCTGAATAACCATTTACCTTATTTTTATGATCCTTCTATCTAAATAACCCTATTTCCGATATAATGGCCAACAATTTACAAAGTTTATCCTTGGTTTTGATTTCCAAGGAACAAGTGGATACTTTGATTGGCAATCATCATGAAGATGCAAGTTTGGTTCCAGATGGATACTTCAAAAGCGAGACTGAGAAGTGATGAAGGTATGGCATATGGATATGTATTGAGTATTGATATTCCAGATTATTAGTTAGCTACCTTACGACAGCTAGAAAAGAAGAGTAAACCGCAATATTTTAAGTCTTATACAGTTTTATTCTAGCTGTTGAGAGGAATAACTTCTCATTTCCTATATAGTACTCAAAATGACATATCTGCTGTCTGCTCAGTTTGAGGGCATTGTAAATGCGAGGTCATATGCACTTGTTTTTTGATGAAGGTCTGATCATTCCAAATTTTGGCTTCTTTTTTTTTTTTTTTTGGAACGTTCACAAATGGGTTTAGTATATCTAAAATTGGGCCTGCAGGCCAATCAAGAGTCCGTCCCTTAAAAGAGCTTAATCAACCTGGATTTGAGCTGGGCTAAACTTAACTACGGACAATTAAGGCTTACAAAATATTCATGGGGAAAATTAGGTACCGTACCTATGTTTATCCTTCGTTAATGATATAGAATTAATTTATTTGTACAACTTGGATGAAAATTTGAATGAAAATGTTGTGTGTCGTCAAAAAATTTGTGGCTGCAAAAAATAAGTTGATGTGAAAACTATCCAATGAGTGAATACTATGTGACATGTTGTCAACCAAATCGTAACCCATGAATGTACATTAAGACCTTGTTTGTCTCCCATTATGGGAGAAAGAATGATGTTTTGAATAGTATTTTTTGGAGAATGTGTGGTTAAAATTGAAAGAAACTTTATTCGTTTATGTGTAGAATATTTTATTATTTGAACGTGTGGTGGA